CTTGAAAACATGGAGGCTCCCCGGGTTTTCTGGAATCCCAATGCCCCAGATCAGGGCTGCAGATGGTCAGCGCATCCACTAAGGGTATCAGTCCTCAGGAGCAGTATGTGGTCTGTGTAGTACAGTGCTGTATTCCATAGACCAGCAGCATGAACACACTTTTTTCTCTTCCTTGTAGATGCTCTCCATGAAGGCCTGAACCCTGTCTGTGACTGTTGAATCCCTAGCACTTGGCATTATGCCTGATACACATTAGACTAAAAAAGTATAAATGAAGTGATGATACATTCCTCCCATAGTTGTGGCTATCACATCTGTCCTGTTTATTAATAACCCTGTGATATACAGATTTTGAACTAACAGATAAGTTTTGAAAGATAATGTGATGGCCATTTATTAGAGAAAACTTGAATAGTGGGTCCTATATATGTGATTTACCATTTATATATTTTAATACATGAAACCCACAGTTGAATGCTTTTATCTACATTGTCTACTGACACCACACTTGGTCTTTGACACCCATGAGTTGCAGTCCGAGCAAGCTATACGTACTTTTTACATTGACAGTCGTAAGTCACTATTTTATACTGAATTTTGAGCAATAGCTCATGTGTGAAAATCAAGGCATGACAGGATGGTGTTACGTGTCAGACAGCAGTCTAGTGGAATCAGCATTACCATCTTTGCCTCTGTCACCTTGAACCCAGCACTGCTCCAAGCTGAGGCCAAAGATGTATGAAGAATTTCCATCTTTATCCTAATTGTATTATGTTTTTGAAATCTAACATTGATAGTTCATTTTTTATTTCCCCCTATTTCCAGAAGTACTATCCATTTTGTAAAAAATCTTCCAGGCTAAAGCATAATATATCATTAAGTAAAAATTATTTTATAATTTTTTACAGAATTATGTTTTTCTTTTTCATTTTTAAAGTTTTTATATATTTTTATTTTTTTTTCTTTTGAGATGGGGTCTGTCTGTGTTGCCTAGGCTAGAGTATGGTGGTGTGATCACAGCTCTGGCTTCTCAGTCTCCCTGGCTGAAGCAGTCCTGCCACCTTAACCTCCCAAGTAGCTGGGACAACAAGCACATGCCACCATGCCTGGCTAATTTTTCTTTTGGTAGAGGTGGGGTCTTGCTATGTTGCCCAGGCTGGTCTCAAACTGAACTCAAGCAGTCCTCCTGCTTTAGCCTCTCAAAGTACTTGGATTACAGATAAGAGCCACTCTGCCCAGCTGAGAATTATGTTGTTTTAATGTAGCATTTTTCAGATACAGCTAGTGCTCGACTTACAACCACGATTGGTTCTGACAGACCAGTCGTAACACGATTTGGTCGTAAGTTGAGTAGGCTATATGCACGCGGAGATGGTAGTGCTGCCGGAAGCTGGTCCGCACTGTCGTACGCCCAGCTGGGCAACGTTTGCGCTGCCAGACGCGGAGCAGTCGTGGCTAGCGATTGTGGTCGTAAAGTCGAATGGTCGTAAGTTGCATAGGTCGTAAGTCGATCAATACCTGTACAGTGTTATGATAGGGAACCCAACGACCTGATTAGACCAGCTTGGCAGAGAGACCAATAAATTAAAATATCAGTATACTGTTAATTGAAAATCAGAAGCAAAGGAAAAAATACTTAAATAAAAGATCATATTAATTTAAAATGAAATTGTGTGCTTTTACAAAACCTTTTCAGGAAAGCATATATTGTGCAAAGTGAATCCATAGCTGTATTAAAAGAATTAGTAATGGCCATTCCAGGTTAATTTTTTTGTTGTTGTTGTTGCTAATTATAGATATTTAAGTTCTAATAGCATAAAGCATTTTTTTTTTTCTCGGATGTTATCATCCCTTGGTTTTACATGTTTTAAACTAAGCTGTAAATTTAGCTTGAACAATTTTAATAACATTTCTAAGGATGTATCTCAAAAAGCAATTTAAAAGAAATACTGAGCTTTTGAAGTCAAACACAACCCCTTTCTTACAAAAGCAGTGAACTTATTTTAGCTGAACATTTCTTTGCCCTGAAGCAGAAATTTCCCCACAGGGTAGGTATTGTAATGATGGAAACCTTAGGTTAATGTGACCATTTTGTACTAGTCATTTATAATCATTTGTGAATGGAATGGCGATTGACAAATGCACTTACTTTAATGTGGGCCTGGACTTATAATATACATGGATCAGCTTCAGGTGCTCATGTCCGTCTTCTCCATGTGGAGTACGATTGTACCTTCCCTTCCCTCCTGCGCTGGTCTTTGTTTTGGATGACCAAGCTGTGAGTTCTTCAAGATCAAAGATCACATCATGTTGTGTCTGTAGCCCCAGCATGTAGAGCAATGCCAGGCGGCAGTGTGTGGTTAATAAATGTTGGTTGAATGAATACCTGGTTGACTCTATGTATGTATGTCTAGTAAATGGTGTTTGCAACTGACAGCCTTTTTGAAAAAAACATTTTGAATAGTTAAAAGTTTATAGGAATTTCCCCCTCCCATCTCTCAGATACAGGAAATTCCTTATTTCCTTCCTGGTAATAAGGAATTTTTCCCACCAGCAGCATCTTACATGATGCTTTTCCCACTGGTAACATCTTACATGACATAGTACAGTGCCAAAACCAAGAAATTGGCATTGGTATAATCCATAGACCTTCTTTGGCATCAGTGACTTTACATGCACTCATTTGTGTGTACTTTGCCTCAGTTCTATGCAGTTTTATCACCTGTATTGATCTGCATGGCTGTCACCAAAATCAAGATACAGATCTTGTGTATGTGGGGTTCCATGCCCACAAGGCTTCCTTGTGCTACTGTTTTGTAGCTAACCCCAACCCCTCATAACAGGATTTTAATCATCCTGACCTTGTGCTTTACATTAGCTTTTGCAATAACTATGGCATGAAGAGCTATAAGATGTTTCTGTTCATTAAGAGACAGCAGCAATGATTGTATCTGTATCTGTTCCCTAGTCCACAGATCATCCCTCATCCATGATCAGTTTATACATTTAAAAAAAATTATCTTAAAGTTGGCTTTCCTAGAGTAATGAATTGTCAACATTATGATAATGGGAGTCCACTCCTATTAATCAGAACTTAGAGACCACATGTTGTGTTCATTATCCAGAAAATGCATCAAGTTGCAAATCTTAAATAGAATGCTAAAAATTGGGATCCACAGTATTAATGAGTTAAATATTGACAAGTGCATCTTAGAAAATGTTTCTGTGACCAAAAAAAAAAAAAAAATCACAGGCTCATATGCAATGAGTTGGAGTGTTCAGCAGCATTTAACTGGCGACTGTGCATGTCTTGTGCATAATTGAGGCTGTAAAGATGGATGCATGTGGTAGATGTGAGGGGTCTAAATGTGTGAGTGTGTATTGTAAGGGAATCTGTCCCTTCTAACATACAGCAGGCTTGATTGCAGATACAGTGATCCATGTTTATGTAAGCAAGGTGGAAACTTCTGATATAGAAGGAAAAAGGCCGGGGCTTATGGATGTTTTTCCTTCAGGAAATAGTTCACGTTTTCAAGAAAGGAAATCTTTCACGCTCATGTCACCAAGATAAAAACAGACAACATGGTCAAGTTTACATTTGGTTTATACATTTGTCAAAATGAGAGCTGTCTTGTTGGCATGAGAAAGAAGGCACTTTTTCTACATCCTCTTTCCTGTCTTATTCTTTCACATTTCATTGTGCTGGAAGATCGGGTCCCAAGGAAGTTCCTTGGGAATTTCATCACTGTCTTCTGCTGACTCTGCTTCTTCCTTCTCTTCCTACCCTGCCTCCTGTCCCACTACAGGGACTTGCAAAGTGAATGTCTATGAGGGCAGAAGCCAGCAAGAAAAACCTGTTTTGCAAAGAAAAGCCTCCAGGCCACACTCCCCTGTCATCAGGATACAGAAATCTTGCCACATCCTCAGGTTGGAAAACCTTCCTGGGAACACTGTGTTCCTGCTGGTGGCGTTCATATGTTTGTGTGTGCACTGTGTGGGGAGCTGGAAGCCTGTGGGTGGGCGTGAGGACCATGAGTCTGGGTGTCAGGCAAGGCCTTTAAAAATAACTTGTTTTTCATTTTTTGGTACATAGCCTCCCTGTTCTAGTTTATTAACAATGAATTTTTAACTCTTATGTTAGGTACTGTGGGAAGTTAGAAAAGTCCTTCTTTAAAGAACTAAGAGTCTCTTCAGAGGATTTATCTACAAGTGAGAGAAAAGGAGAGTTACCAGAAATACAAAATAGGTCACGGAATATTTAAGTATGGAGAGGATACATTGTTAAAATTATGGAAGTGGCTTGAGGGAAATCTATGAAGACTTAGAGAGTGGATGGTGTCAAATGGTTCACAAGGAGCTGATGAACGCTGGGCCTTGCAGATGGGAGCGTTCTGAGGCAGGAGCTGGGGGCATGGCTGTGGCTTGCTGGTTAATGAATGTACTGGACCAGTCAGACATCTTTGGTTCAAGTTCTTTTACCACTAGACCTCTTAATTTAAAGTGAGATTCTTCCTTGATTGTAAACTCCCATGTTACATTAAAGTTATGAGTAGTAAATAAAATGTTTATGAAAAAGTAAGAAAGCTTTCTAAATTGCAAAACCCTATACAGATTTGAATGATTACTCTCAGATTACCAGTCTTAGAAATCAACATTTTTAAAATTTGTATACAATTTAAAACTGAAGACCATCTGAAAAGATGCTGATATTTACCCATTTTTAAGAACATGAGGCCAGGAGCAGTGGCGCATGTCTATAATCCCAGCACTGTGGAAGGCCAAGGCCACTGCGGATCACAAGTTCAAGAGATCGAGACCATCCTGGCCAACATGGTGAAACCCTGTCTCTACTGAAAATAGAAAAACTAGCCGGGCGTGGTGGCATGAGCCTCTAGTCCCAGCTACTTGGGAGGCTGAGGCAGGAGAATCACTTGAATCCATGGGGCGGAAATTGCAGTGAGCTGAGATTGTGCCACTGCACTCAAGCCTGAGTGACAGAGTGAGAGTCAGGTCTCAAAAGAAAGGAGGAAGACAAATTTATGGTACAGTTTTTTGTTTTGTTCTCATTTGTTTGTTTTTAAATATGATGTCTGAATGAAGCCAAACAAAAAGCAGGTACTACACAGTTTTTTAGAAGTAATCATTCCCTCACAAATTTTGAGAAAAGCTGAAGAAAATCATAATCATTCTAAAAATTCATTTCTAATGGGTCAAAGGAGGAATGCATTTTTCATCCTAAAATCTGCTGTCATTTCATATTCTATTTTCTTTGAGACAATTTATCGGGCACATATTTAGATGCCAGCTCCCGCAATGGGGATCAGAAATAATCATCATCCCTGCAGTGGTGCAGATAGCCACGTTATTATAAATACAGTCAACCCTCTGTTTCCAAGGGCTTCTCATACACAAATTCCACCAACCAAAATTGAAAATATTAAAAGGTAGACAACATAAATTTTAAAATGCAGCACAACAACTATGTGTATAGCATTTGCATTGTGTTAGGTATTATATGTAATCTAGATATGATTTAAAGTATATGGGAGGATGTGCATAGGTTATATGCAAATGCTACATACTACTACTGTTTTACATAATGTACTCAAGCATGTTTGGATTTTGGTTTATGGTGGAAGTCCTAGAACCAATACCCACAGATACTGAGGGATGACTATATATATGTGTCACTTCCACCCGAGAGCTGCTGTTGAATAAAGGGAAAAATTCTAGGCTAGCTTATAAAAGGAAACTAGTGAGGCTGTGTTCCCTTGAGGAAGTAGTATTTGACTACAGATATGAGGTAAGCTATGGGATAAAAAGGCCTGGAAAGCAGAACAGGGGTATATGGATTGGGATAAAAATTAATTGCTAAAAATGGTGACAGTTATTAAGCCAGTGTATATGATGGGCCTTAATATAGTATTCTACCTTGGAATCTTAAAGAAATCCTCTTCTGTAGCATCTTAATACAGTAGTTTGCCTAGGTATTACGCTTTGTCCAACCTGAGATATTTTCAGAAATAATGCTCTAAGATTTCAGATGTGTCTCTCTAATACTTTGCTTCATAAAACCTGAATCAGAGTAATAGACAAAAGGTACTAAAATAAGATTTAAATGAATATTTCTGTAAATCTGTAATAGAGAAGAACTTTCTAAAGAGGGACTCCAAATCCAGAAATCATACGTTGGAATTTGACTACTTCAAACACTTCTATAATAAAAGTTTATCAGTTTAAATAGAAAACTATAAAATGGTAAAAATCATTTACAATATATATGACAGTGAAAACATTTTTTATGAAGAAATCTGTTAATGTAAGTCAGCAGCTGCCCAATATAAAGATTGGAAAAGATTTGAACTGGGATTTCATAAGAGAATGCATAAATGACCAGTAAACAGATGAGTTGATGTTTCATGTCACTGGTAGTCAAAGAAACAGTGCCTGTTTTTTTGTTTGTTTGTTTGTTTGTTTTTTGTTTTGTTTTGTTTTTTGCTTTCAGGGTTGTTTTTTTTTGCCATTAAAAAGATGGCCATATTGAAGAAAATGTAATAACTACACATGTACATGCACTGATGAAGCCTTTGTGAATTTATACTTTCTGTATGCATAAACATTTATAATGTGATTACCCTATGACCCAGAAATTTTACTTCTAGGAATATATGCCAAAAATGTAATTATGAGTATGCGTAAAGATTTAGCTACAATTATGCTCATCATTACTATAATTAAAAGTTGTGAAGCAATCAAAATGTGTAATAGAGAGATAGTTACATAAATGTAGCACATTGATAGAAGGAACACTAAGTGGCCATTAAAAACAAAGTCCTTTTGAATTCTTTGCTATGGAAGTTTGTCCCTGAAATATTGTTAAATAAGGAAGTAGATTACAAAATAGCATTTATGTCAAGGATATATAGTAACATGTTAAACACTTACTTGTGTGTTAGATACTTTGCTAAATGCTTTATGTTGATTGTCTCATTTAGTTATAACATTCCTCTGAGTAAATATTATTAGTCCTATTTTATAGATACCAAGCACTGCCAGCAGCAAAAAAGTATAAGATGCAGAATTGATAAGGTAGGTGTGGATACAAAACTTCAGGAAGCGGTAATCTGTGTTTAAGATAGTTACATGATCAGGTGGTAAGTTACAAAGTTCAGATAAAAATACAGAGATAGGCCTGGGTCATGGAGTGGGGTTGTATATAAGATGGGTAATGTTGAATAATATTCATGTTTCAAAAAGAAGATACATGGAGAAAATAAGTATTGAGTTGACACGGAACACTGGATAGGCAGTGACTGGAAGTAGAACACATTCTGCAGGCAAAATAGCCTGAGCAAGCAGCAGATGCAAGAATGAGCAGCTTGGAAATGTGCAGTTCGGAAAGGTGTTGGCTGGTTTTCCTGAAGACATAGGAATTAAAGTAAGGTGAGACCAGATAATGGAGAGCTTCCACTGTGAAGTGTTTATGTAGATGTGTAAATGTATCTAGATACATTTATTTAGATACATATAAGAAAGTATTTGAAGGCCTTCTACAAGGCTTAGTTATACTGGTTTACTACAAGTTCTTCTTCAGTTTCTATTAGAAATGTTAAGGAGGCTCCTGTGATCAACTCTGTGCCTAACAGATTTGGAAGCTCCTACTACATATTGTGGGTTTTATTTTCACTTTTTAAACTGTATTTTTATAGTGCACTTAACAGCATTCCATGGATTTTTACATGAAAACTGATGAGCTTAATTAGTGTGAGCAGGCCTCTGCATGTTTCTGAACAGAGTTCTTAATTAAGAAACTCAGCCTTGGGTGGGGCTTTGGCCATCGTGTAGTCTGTCTTCCCACCCCAGTGAAGGAATTTCTCCTATAATAATTCCCAAAGGAGATTATTCCTAATTATTTACCTAAAATAATGAATAGAGGAAGATGAAGACCTAATTAGTTGCTTACCCCAACATTTAGAGTAGCCTATTTCATCTTTGAAATACATATTTATAACTGAATGAAAATTGAGAAGCATGCTTTTTTTTTCAGATTTGTACTTGTTAGAAAAGAATCACTCATAACACTAAATCATCATTTAATTTAATCTTCGAGGTAACTTTGTCTTTTAATCTTCTATGTAACATTGAATATCTATCATGATATTAACTAGTTTCGTCATTTGAGTTGTTTTGTAATGTACTCCTTATAGATGGAAGAAGGTTATATCTGACTCAGCAGGCGATGTGTTAAGGATACATTCAAAAATTCTGGTTTGGTAAAAGATTACATCTCTTTAATAGTAATGGTTTAAATCACATCTTTTTAAATTTGAAGTAGTACTTTACCTAAGACCTAAGTTATTACCAGCGACATATACCTCCTCTAAATAAAAAAGACATAATGATAATTTCTCATAAACCTAGAATTAAGATTTATCTAGTTCTATGTACCTGGGATTGCCCCCTTGTCAAACTGATTTTATCTACTTAACTCAACATATAGTATATTGTTGGTAGAACTGGTAATTCAGAACAAAGCAGAAGATACAAACAAAGTTTGTTAAGTGTAAATCTAATTAACGAAGCCATCCAAACACAAGAAATTGTAGGAATGAATTTTAAATCACATGTGAAGTCAGTAGTATTGTTAGAGGAGACTTAGTCAAGGAAGACATTTTGGAGAATTTCCAAAGAGCAAAAATATGGGCTTTGGTGGTCCAAGGAAGGTTTCCATCTAGAAGAAATGGCAAGTGGCTGAGTCTCTGAATCCACTGAGTCTTGGACTGTTTATATAATCTTTGTAGTTCTAGATATAGCATAATGCCTCGTGCATAGTGGCATTCAAAAAATATATAGTGCCTTGAAGATATTGTAAAGAGTAGGAAGTAGACTTCAATAATCTTCAGTATAGTGCAGCCATTCAAAATTCAGTTTAGGATTAGAGTGATTATAGCTTGGGTCCGAGTTTAACCACTTGCTTCTATCTCTGATATTAGTCAAGATCTTTATCTTCTAAGTTACAGTTTCCTCATGGCAAGGTGGTACATCAAGAGTCAAAATTTGTGATTAAAATGAGACAAATCTTGTGAAGCATTTAGCATGATGCTATCTTAAATGTCACCCTGAAATGAAATAGGAACATGGCAGAATGCTACTTTTGTGGCTTGTATTAACATATAAATGCATCTTTAATTGCTTGCTATAGGCTTCTAAGAACTGATACTAATTGGCTTAAATATTATCTGTGCCATATAATTATTTTCTCTTGGATGGGGGCCAAAATGGGAGACAGTGTGGGAGGAAAGGGCAGAAAGGTTTTGTTCTGAAACAGTAGAGGTGTTCAAACATCTTCATCTAGGTATTTGGAAATATAATTAAGACCCATCTTAAGGTAGGGTTAAATGCCCTCTTTTCTAATGAAAGAAATTGGTATTGAACGGGACTGTACATTGGCAGGAATAGACGCACAGTCTGAATCATGGATAGAGAAAGAGAGGCAATAGCTTGTAACATGGGGCACTGTCTGCTCCTGCCCTGCCCTTCCTTCACAGCTTCTTTACTGGCTGTTCCTTTGCTTTGTCTCAAAGAGGTAGTCCCTGTGTCCTCAATGGACTCTATTTCTGGTAATCTTCTCATTTGTTTTCTTCTAGTGAGCCCTCTACCACACTGGCAAAAACAAAATACACTCCCACCCCATTCCTATCCATGACTTTTATTTTACCCTGGATGTTCAAATCTCTAAGGACATTTTGACTTCTATGTTTGGCCATCAGTGTTCTGAGATAATTCAAAATAAATAGTCACTTAAAACATATTTTAATGAGCTATAAAATGATCTACTGTGGAGTTTTGTGGAGGAAATTCACACATACTTATAAGAAAATACAGACCTTTAAAAGATTTAGAGCCGTCTGTGGGGTGAATCAGGCTCTGCCTGTGACAGCAACTCTCCTTCCTTTTCATACTTCTTCACTTCAGCTGCCTTGTGCCTGGCCCTGGGTATACACTTAACTATAGCCCAGAGGTAAGATTTGATAAGCAGTATTCTTAGGAGATTAAGTTATGAAACTTAACTCATAGGGAACCAAACATTTGATTTAGGAATGGAATTAACTGCCTAGGAGGTCGTTAGATGTTGTTTATGGAAAGCAAGGTCCTTTCTAGGGGCCAGACTTCTCCTGATCATTAGAATGAGACTTGCTGAGAAATGCCTGGGAACAAACTCTAAGAGTGATGCTAGGTACCCTGGATGCCTAAACCCATTAATAGGGTCCCTAAATACTTACCTTAGAAATCACTGGTGACTTGTACACTACAGAGAACAGTAAAGATTTATGTGATCCAGTGTGTGCTACCAAATTATTCCTGGTGTAGTTAAGTCTGACTTAAATAGAAATGTGATCAGATTTTATGCCTGTATCAATTTTATAATCTTAAAGAAAAATTTTAACTTAGTTGAAAACATTTTATGAGAAACCTTGAAAACTAAGTAGTTGACCAATCATGGTGAAATTTTCTTGACATATAGTTGAACAATTCTTGCATTTCAACAACAGATAAAAAAACAACTGTTGAAAAGCAAATCTAGAACATTTATATGAAGAAATAGAAATAAAAGTTGCTGGTTTTATATGATAAGTTTTTCACCTTTCTTTTTAAAGACTGGTATTTGGGAAGGGTAGGCAATGTAGGATCAGGATTTGGTTAAATCCACTGTTTATTACTGATCAGATATCCTCCATGTAATCTTTTGTGCAAGTTATAGTTTTGACTTGAGATTCACTTTCCTCATTTGTAAAATGCAGTTACCAGAATTACCTACTTGGTAGTGTGGCACTAAGAATTGTGTAAAAGAGAACTATGTAAAACATCTGACAGGGCATCTGGAAGTTAGTACTCAATAATAAATATTAACTATTAATAGTGATAACTGTAAACCTTTTTATATCACATATTTTTACTGCTATTTCTCTAGAGATTTTTTTATTGGTCATATAGTATATTCCCCTTTTAAAAAACTTGAAAATTCTTTCTCCTTTTATTAATTTAAACTTATAAAATGATGTGATTCCCTTATCTTCCTTCTCTTACACATTGTAACTCTACGGCACCTAGAAGCATTGTAAAATCTTACTAACATAAACATTTTAATACTCAAAGAAGCATTTTTCCACAAAACGGCCATGTTTCTTGTATTTATCATAGTAAGAGAAATTCTAGATATGTATGACCTCACTAGTCTTCATAGTCTTTCAATAAATATTGCCATTTGGAATCTATTTTAATGTTTAAAAACATTAGGAATATAAAATATGTGTATATATTATAGCTATAAGTACTTAGAAAAACATGAAATTGTGACAGTAATATAAATTAAGATAATATTTCTAGTGAAACCACATTTACTTGACAGAAGTTTTTGTATATTTCACTAATTCTTCTGCATATGCAGGTCATTTTAACTTAATATTGCAAAATAAGGTCTTTTTTTTTCATTTTTCTTAAATGCTGTTTATAATAGCAGCATGCTAGTCCATTACAGTTTTCAACCATAATTAAATCAGCTATTTCCTTATAATAAATTATTTCCAGTTTTTAGGTTATAAATGGTGTTTCCATTAGCTTTTTATACTTACAGTTTTTCCTTTTTTGTTGTTGTAGGATTAATCTAGGAATGTTTTCTCTGGGTCAGACTGTCAAAGTGTATTTGACTCTTGAAACTAAAGTGCCTTTCAAAAGAGTTCTGATGGTTGGTAGTGCCAAAGGCAACATATGAATAAGGTCCTTCTTGCCATTTTCTAGCAATGGATATAATGGTTATTAAACTGGTCAATTCAATCAATGTTAAGTGATCTCATTTTTTTTTCTTCTTTCTTTACATGGGACAGAAATAATTGTTGACATACCGTTTTGGATTAAAGTGGTTAGTCATGTCTTGAAATAATTTGGAATTGGTAGTACAGTTATAATAAAGCACATGTCATTGCAACTAAATTAAAAAGACTCTTTAATGTAACTTGTTGACTTTTTATATGAAGAATTTGTATGCTCACAGTAGAAACTATTATGGGGAAAATTTACAGTTTTTGAAGTAAAAAGAAAAAAGAAGCGAACAAACTTTAAAATATATTTCCAGCTTGTAGATTCAAATGGTGATTTCTTAATGTGCCATGTATTTTAAGCTCTTAACTATCTGAAGCCCAAGTAACTACATGTAGAATTAGAAACCACTGTTTTGGTTTTAAGGGTATTTAAAAATAGTCTTAGGGAAATCTTTATCTTCAGTTTTGCTGTTAAAGCCGAATTGAGTTTTACTGTTAAAGCTAACTGTACTCTGTCTTTCTCCTTCGCTTGCTTTTACCTCATTTATAGAACAGACCTAGTATTTTAAAAAGTTATATATGCCACTCCTACCCTCCCTTCTCCCCCCGCCCCCAGGACAAAATGTAGGCATGTTGAATGAACAGTCATAGCGAAGTGGGGGGATTTCCTTGAGCTGTAGAATTAGATGAAAAAAAGGGAGAGAGGGGAAGTGTGAGAACTACAGAGAAAAGAAGACAAATTACAGAAGAAGACAAGGAGATATGAAAGAAGTAGATTTACATTTTGAGTTCTCATTGCCTTCGTATTTTTTCACAAATTCTCTGGCAAGCTATAAGGCTATTTTTTTAAGGTTTATTGATAAACAGTTGATTTGTATTTTAGGTCAAACTAATTCTGCATCTCTGTCCTATTGTCCTTTTCTATTCTCTTCTTTATTGTATTTTATTTTTTAACAGAAACACTGTCTAACTTGCTGGCTCTTTCTGCTCTGCTGTTGCTCCAGCCCTGCAGCTTCCCTACCGTGTGAATTTGCACTTCAGTGGCACCATTTCCTGTTAGAAACCAAAGGCAGGCCCCTGACTTTTCTAGGTGGTGATTCACACCGGAAGGACCTCAAAACCTGTATCAGGGCACCTGACTTAACTGTGGGACTAGCTGATCGACTTGATGCACAAATGGGACCCTGGACTCTTTTTCATACCTTTTGGTCTCCTGTGGGTCTGAGGTAGAGTGGTCAGAAAATTGAAAGATTGATGTAAGTAGATTTTAGAACACTAATTACAGAGGGTTGAAATCAATCTCGTTCAGATTCCTCTGGATAGAAATCAAGGTGAATGATATTTGAGTCCCAAATCAGTATTTGTTTTTGTTTTAATTATAGTAAAATACATTTAACAGAAAATTTTAAGCTTTTTTAAGACATTGTATATTGTCACATCTGTATCTAACATGGAAATATGTACATGCATATGTAACCTACAAAGATGAAAACTGTTCGTTCCTTATTTTATAATAGAAGAATCTTACATATGACTTTTAATTTCCTTTTTAAATTGTGAAATACAACAAAATTTTATTTTAACCATTTTAAGTGTACGAGATGATGTTTTTTCACTATATAAGTTAAGCTTTATATAAATTATGTACAGTTCTATTAGAGAAGACTGAAACTAAAAAAAGGTTGATATGAAGAAATCTCACTTTTTTGGAATTAAAATAACTGATATTTTCCCTCTTACATCTTTTTTTTTTTTTTACACATATATTTTGGTACTTGAAGTATTGCAAAGTTTTTAAACCTAATTTTCCTCCGAGGCAAACTTTTTTTTTTTCTTTCAAAATCTTAAAGATAATTTTTTCATGGAATGAATTTGCAATCCATGTGCAATCAGTCTTTATAATAAAAATATGAAATTGACATCTGTGGATACATTGTGAAATGTATCCATAACTGGCATAAATTCTGATGATTAATAAGGTCAAGTTTCTGAGTAAGGGTACCCAAAACTCAAATGTTTTACTAGAGAAATCTTAGCAAATCCAAATTATTTAATTGTTTGCATTTTACCAGATAACGTTTTCAGCCTGTTGTGGGGACTATAGAGAAGGGGTTATCTGACAGTTGTCAAGTCGGAGGAAGTTAGATGCCTTTATATCTACTTGGGCTCATCGTTTAGCTCTATCTACAGTCATTTTGGTATTGTCATCCAATCAGTCAAATGTGTTTCATTTACTTTATTGATCAGTATAATCTACATTATTTTATATTAATGACAGTGACTGTTTGTTTATAAAAAGGCAGTATATGAACTCGGGAAGTTCTGCATTCACTTGGGTACCTTTCTTACTCAATATGTTAGTAAATGATTATGTCCTAGTTAGGCCTATGCAGTGCAGTGCCAGAACTCTTGCATCTGTTTAGTCTACTTACTGATTTTATCTTTTTGTTTTTTTAACTCTGAACAAACCAAAATGTCCAACATGTGTAACTCACTAACATTCACAATCCACTTCTAGCAAAGCTAAGAGCCTTTAAAATGACTTTGAATCTATGGCAGTAGATGGGCATCAAATATATTCAGACACTTCATCTGAGTGGATTAGCAACAGACTTCTTCTCTTATAAAAAAAGTAGTTGGGAAGCAATGACATTTGCATAAAGGCATTTCCTTTTGCCACCTTTGGATTTTTTTTTTTTTTTTTTAGAATTATGGTTTAATCTTACTGCTGTTATTAAACTGCTTTAAGCTTCTTTCCAAGTACCACAGCCAAATTGAAGAATTTATTTCATTGCTTGTACTTTGAAACACTGTTGTCAAAGTAAGCAAAGGCAAGGGATAGACATACAGCCCCCTTGCATTTTCAGTTTATTTGCATTTGTTCATGACTTCTGTGACACTTTAAATTTACAAAGGAGTTTGCTTGCTTTAAACTCTATCATATATACGTTGTTACCTGAATGAGTATGTAAGAGATCAAAGTACCTGTCAGCTTAGTAAATAGAAGAGATTTTTTTTTTCTCTCTCTGAACTGCTTATACAGGGAGAATTCATTGCCTTATTTATGTTGAGAACTTAACATAGTTAGGAAAACGGTCGGTTGTTAAAGTTTGAAAAGTGTCAGGGAAGAGGTGGGTGCTATTTTCTGTAGAGTGTCAAATATTTGAAGTATATTAAAGCTGAAATAAGTGAAAATCTGTTAGATTACTTGGAACCTCTCCTAATTTCCTATGTTTTAAAGAGACCTTTTCCCCCTCAAGTACATTTGCATATATAGAAACAATTTGGCTTCAACAAATAATGTTGCCTATCTCTCTTAAAGTAATAAAATGAATAATATAGACTCATTAATATTGCCAGTTATTTTATAGGATACTTGAAGCTGAAAAAGACACAGATATCAGGGTCCTAACTAATTTGTACCTATGGAATTATGATTTTGGTCAAAAATATTTTCATTCCACGTGTTCATTATGTGTGCATGCCTGCCCTCTCTGGACAATGGTCCAGCTGATTGCTGCTGTTATTGTTAGGGGCTCTCAGTGTATCAAAAATAAGTTTTTGAGCATGACAGAATGGTGCATATGCTCGTTTTTTAAATTGGAAACAAAAGTTCTGTACGAACTCCATAGTGAGTACAATTAAATACACAAACCATTGGATGGGCAACCATGCCGGTAAGCCATGGAGAATTTACTTTTTTGTTGGATATTTGTTAGAACATGAAGTTGGAATTGAGAACATATTTTCTTCTGAAATATGGTTGATGATTATGTATGTGTCTGTTGAGGTGTGGTTAATTCCACAAAGCCTATTTACTCTACAAAGCCCCCCAAATTAGAATATGGTGCTGCCATTATGTGGTAACCCTGTATATGACAGTGTATCTATTGGAAAATGTTTTGAGTTTTCATATGAAGTTTTAGGGGCATTGCTGTAGCTCTGACAGTATAAATATGGATTTGAAAGTTATAAGCTATACACAACTTGATATTTCAGAGTGACAGTGAGGCTGCAGTGCACTGGTGGTGATAAACTGTTAGGACTTGGAATCTCTGTGTACTTTGATATGTTAGGAACTGTCTTAACCCTGCATGTATTTCACATGCCCCCTTTCTTCGAGATCTCCAGAAACTTGGTTAATCTGCTACCTCTCCACAATGAACAGCTGAAGCTTCTGGCTGTAGTAGCTGTCAGCCCCCTTTCTGCAAGGCTGGGTTAGTGTCCCCACAAAATTCATGTCCTTTTTCGGACCTCAGAATGTGACCTTATTTGGAATTGGTGTTGTTGCCAATGCAATGAATTATGATGAGGACATCCTGGAATAGAGTGGCCTTTCATCTAATATGTCTGTGTCCTTCTTAGAAGAGACACAGACACGTATGGAGAGCACCATGTCACAGAGGCAGAGATGGGGGTGATATATCTACACCCCAAGGAATACTAGTGATTGTTGGAAACACCAGAAACTCAGAGAAAGGCATGTGACAGATTCTTATCTATAGCCTTCAGAGAGAACGTGGCCCTACCAACACCTTGATTTTGGAATTTCAGCATCCATGTCTTTGAGAGAGTAGATTTTTGTTTTTAAAAGCCACCTGGTATGCGCTACTTCCTTACTGCAGCCCTAGGAAACTAATACACCTGCCAATAAGCAGAGAAGAAAATATTCTCTGAGTTTCTCTCCTGTAAGTCTGTTTTTTAGCAAACATGTAAATAGTTTTAAGTTTCTCTAAAATTATCAAAAACAAAACTGAGCATCTGTAGGTGAAGAGCATTTGTTTTCAACCATCACTTCAGTTAGGCATTTTGTGCGAAAGGTATTCCATACTGGGATTCCATCCCCAGAGATTCTGATACGGTAGGCTAAGGGTAGGGCCTGGGCATCTGTATGTTTTAAAGCTTCCCAAAGGAAACTGCGAATATGCAGATAGAGCAGAGAATCACTAGTGCAGAGGGAAGAGTAAGAATGAGCCAGGAGCACATTAGAATCAGCTTGTTGGCTTTTGAAGCTTACTGATGCCTGAGCCCCAACACCAGAGGTTAGAGATGCAGCCTGCCGTTGGTTAGAGATGCAGCCTGCCATTGGTTAGGGATGCAAAGGGGTCGAAGAGAGTCATGTTTGTTTTTTTTTTGGTACACAGTGGATGAATGAGGTCTCAGCACGACAAAATATCTTCTTCTGTATTGTATTCTCTCTTCTTCATAATTCAAGACTTCCCCAGACATCTTCAAAGGAGGTGGCCAGTGAGTTATATGTGAGTTGGGTATGTTGGGGGGATTGTAGCAGTGACTGGTGGCTCCAGGTAGGGTGGGTGGGGATTGATTTTTTTTTTTTTTAATCCTTTTCCCTCCTATTCTCCGTACCATTTCCTGTTCTGTGGGAAAGCCTGCCTTGGGCCCACGTGAATAAAATGAGAATGAAATTATAGGGTTGCAAAAGTATAGAAGTGAGGGGATTCTCAGTGAGAGGAACAAAATTTGAAAAATCCCATGCGGCAGAAGTGGGAGGCAAAGAGGTACTATGGCCACGGGTGGCCGTTTCAGTTGTGTGTAATCCATTGTGCCTGTAGAGAGGGGACTTAATGTGTATGTATAGACATTCATACAGATAATTTTTGTGTGGGGCACAAAAATGTCTGTATAATTATGGGTTTTTTTTTCTTTTTTTTTCTGAAATTCTGTTTGTAGTGAATGTTGCCCCGTATTATGTGATGATTTCCAAGAAGCTCCTGTCTCTCCATCTTGCGGTCTGCTTTGTACTTTGTAGATTTATCATTTGGGTTGTGCCTATGGTGTTAATCTTGATTAAGAGATACATTGTTAATACATCTGATGCTGTGCTAGTGACTAATATCTAGTATTGTTGCTATTTCTTTTATAATGACAGTATGTTTAGAATATCTAAGACACAACAACAGCAGATTTAAAGGAGGTCTTTTGCATGTAGGCCACTTGGAATGAAGACCTTCTTCATCCTGCGCTCATTTCCTTGCTTTGTCCACATGTTTCACTATCTTCCTGATGACCATAACTGTGTTTAGAGACCACATTAAGGAGACCTCCTCATTGGTGAAGTTCTTTAAGATTGGTTCTGAGATCTGTGCTTGATGGCAATTCTTAAAAGTTCTCATAGTCATAGCTATCCGAAGTTTTTGTATATCTACTGATAATCACACTTGCTTTATTTGATTTGCATATCAATCCTTTGAGGTCGATTATAGCACTTGTATTTTCTTGATAGGAGACATCAGTG